CCCCGTTTTTTCCCGGTTTTCCCCGTTTTTCCCCGATTTTTCCCCGTTTTACCCCGTTTTTTCCCGTTATTCCCCGTTTTCCCCCGTTTTTTCCCCGTTTTTTCCCGGTTTTCCCCCGTTTTTCCGCGTTTTTTCCCGGTTTTCCCCCGTTTTTCCCCGATTTTTCCCCGTTTTACCCCGTTTTTTCCCGGTTTTCCCCCGTTATTCCCCGTTCTTCCCCGTTTTCCCCCGTTATTCCCCGTTTTCCCCCGTTTTCCCGGCCGCTCTCCGTGAGGGGCGCCGCCATTTCCCGCCCCCCCGGCCCCGGCGGGACCGGAAGCGGAAGCGCGTGGGCGCGCGCGCTGCCCGGAAGCGCGTGGGCGGCGGCGGCGGTTCCGGTTCCGGCGGCGGCGGCGGCGCGGGGGAGGCACCGGGAGAGGAGAGGGAGAGGAGGAGGAGGAGGGCAAGGGGAAAGCGAACGACGAGAAGCGGCGGCGCCGCCGACAACACCGGCAGCGGCGCCAGCAGCGGAAGCCGAGCCGCTCCTCTCCCCCCCCCGCCCCGCGCTACCGGGGACGATCCGCCCCCCGCCCCCCCCTCCCGGTCCCCGCCCGCCTCCTTCCCCGTTTCCCCCCTCCCTTCCCGTCCTCCTCCTCCTCCTCCTTCTCCCGGAACCCGCCTCGCTCCTCCCGGCCCGCGCCGCCCCCGCAGGTTCGTCCCGGGGGGATCCCGGTGTGGGGGGGGGGGCGGAATGACCGAATTACCGGGGGTTACCGGAGCGGGGGGAGCGGCTCGGGATGAAGGCAAAGCCCCGCAGGCCGCCGGGGAGGGGCCGCGGGGGCTGCGCGGCGCTGCCCGGTGGGCGGCGAGGGCCGGAGCGCGGCCCCGGTAACGGCGGGGGGGTCCCGGTAACCGGGGGAGGGGGAGGGGAGGGGAGGGGGCGTTGGGTAAACACGGAGCGGCCGCACGGGCGGCTCCGGGCGGGCGGGGGCTCCGCAGCACCGCCCCGCCCGGCGGGGGTGAGCCAACACCGAGCCCCCCCGCCGGTCCCGGGGGCACCGGGAGCGGCACCGGGAGCGGCACCGGGGCCGGGCCCCCCCCGTGGCGGCGGCGTGGGAGGCCCCGGCCGCGCTCCGGGGCCGGCGGGGCGGGCGCGGCGCCGCCCGGGGCCGGGCCGGGCCGGGCAGGCCGGGGCAGGCTGGGACCGGCGCTAACGGAGCGGGGCAGCCCCGGGCACGGCCCCGCCGCCGCCCCGGCGCCGCTCGGCCCCTCCCGGCGGCCATTTGGGGCCTTTGAAGCGGCTGCCGGGAACCGGGAACCGGGATGGGCCCGGGGGGCGGCAACGGCACCGGCCGGGGGCTGCGGTGCTTCCCGGGGGCTCCGGTCCCTTCCCGGGGGGCTCCGGTTCCTTCCCGGGGGGCTCCGGTCCCTTCCCGGGGGTCTCCGGTTCCTCCCGGGGTCTCCGGTTCCTTCCCGGGGGGCTCCGGTTCCCTCCCGGGGGTCTCCGGTCCCTTCCCGGGGGGCTCCGGTTCCCTCCCGGGGGGCTCCGGTCCTTTCCCGGGGGGCTCCGGTCCTTTCCCGGGGGTCTCCGGTTTCTCCCGGGGGGCTCCGGTTCCCTCCCGGGGGGCTCCGGTTCCCTCCGGGGGGCTCAGATGTGAATTCCAGCCCCGGAAATTTCCCTTTTCCCCGCTCCTTTTCCCGGTTTATTTTGGGTTTTCTTTCCCCTTTTCCCGGTTTATTTTGGTTTTTTTTTCCCTTTTCCCGGTTTATTTGGGTTTTCTTTCCCCTTTTCCCGGTTTATTTTGGGTTTTTTTCCCCTTTTCCCGGTTTATTTGGGTTTTCTTTTCCCCTTTTCCCGGTTTATTTTGGGTTTTTTTCCCCTTTTCCCGGTTTATTTGGGGTTTTTTTCCCTTTTCCCGGTTTATTTTGTTTTTTTCCCTTTCCCCCTTCCTCTTTCCCCCTTTTTCCTCCTTTTCCCCATTTTTCCTCTCTTTTCCCCCTTTTTCCACCCTTTTTTCCCACTTTCCTCTCCCTTTTCCCCTTTTTCCCCCTTTTCCCCCATTTATCTCCCCTTTTCCCCATTTTTCCCGTTTCCCCCGTCTTTCCCTGTTTTTTCCCTATTTTTCCCATTTTTTCCTATTTTCCCCCTATTTTCCCCATTTTTTTCTATTTCCTCCTGTTTTCCCCCTGTTTTTTCCCTATTTTCCCAATTTTATCCCTGTTTTTTCCCATTTTCCCCCATTTCCCCCCTGTTTTTTCCCTGTTTTTTCCCTATTTCCCCCCATTTTCCTCCTGTTTTTTCCCTATTTTCCCCCTGTTTTTCCCTGTTTTTCCCCTATTTTCCCATTTTTTCCCTATTTTCCCCCTGTTTTTTCCCTATTTTCCCAATTTTTTCCCTGTTTTTCCCCTATTTTCTCATTTTTTCCCCATTTTCCCCGTTTTTTCCCCATTTTCCCAATTTTTTCCCTATTTTCCCCCTGTTTTTTCCCATTTTCCCCCTGTTTTCCCCCGTTTTCCCTCCCTCCCTCCCTCCCTGGCACATCTGGGCGCGCTCCCAGCTGTGGATTTTGGCAGCCGAGCCCGTCTGGAGCTGAGCTGGGTTTGTTTTGTCTCCTCCCTGCACCTCCAGCCAGGGAAATTTCCCTTTTTCCCCCTTTTTTGCCTCCTTTTCCACATTTCTCTTCATTTCCCCCCTTTTTCCCCCTCTTCCCCCCACTTTCCCCCCTTTTTTTCCCTTTTCTCTCATTTTTGCCCCCTTTTCCCATTTTCTCCCATTTTCCCCAACTTTTCTTCCACTATTTCCCCCTTTTTCCCCATTTTTCCTCTTTTCCCCATTTTTCTCCCATTTTTCCGACTTTCCCTCCCATTTCCCCTCATTTCCTCCAATTTCCCCCAATTTTTTCCCATTTCCCCCCCTTTCCCCTCATTTTTCTCCCATTTTTTCCCTTTTTTCCCCCATTTTTCCTCCATTTTTTCCCCCTTTTCCCCCATTTTTCCCATTTTTCCCCCATTTTTCCCATTTTTCCCCCTTTTCCCCCATTTTTTCCCCATTTTTCCCCTTTTTCCCCACCCCGGGGTCTCTGAGCTCTCTCTCCCCACAGGAGGAAGAGGATGAAGGCCGGCTGCAGCATCGTGGACAAGCCCGAGGGAGGAGGGGGTAAGGGACCCCAAAATCCCAAAAATCCCAGAAATCCCAATTCCCATGAAGGATAAAAGCATTCCCTGATTTTCCCAAAAAAAACCACAACACTCCAAATCTGATTTTTCTCAAAAAAACCCCGACCCCAAACTAGATTTTTCCAAAAAAAACCCACCCAAAATCAGATTTTTCCCAAAAAAAATCCAACCCCAAACCAGATTTTTCTCAAAACAACCCCAACCCCAAATTAGATTTTCCCAAAAAAAAAATCCCCAAATCAGATTTTTTACCAAAATTTAAAAAAAAAAAACAAATTCCCACCCTAAATTAGGTTGTTTGGTTTTTTTTCCTGAATTCCGTCCCTGGGATTTTGGCTGGAATATTGAGTGGGATTCCAGGCAGGTTTTATCAATTTTTGGGATTTTTTTGGTGATTAGTGGAATTCCAGTCCAGTTTTCCCAGTTTTTTGGTGGTTTTTTGGTGGGTTTTTTTGTGGGTTTTTGTGGGTTTTTTGGGGGGTTTTTGTGGGTTTTTAGTGGTTTTTTTGGGGTTTTAGTGGTTTTTTTGTGGGTTTTTAGTGGATTTTAGTGATTTTTTGGTGTTTCTTGGGTGGATTTTTAAAGAAATGGGTCTGAAAGGAGTCAGAATCGAAGAGCTGGATGAGAAACCTGGAATTCCCTGCTCCCACGTGGAATACTGAGCGGAATTCCAGGCCCCAGTGATTAATGGAATTCCAGCCCAGTTTTCCCGATTTTTTGGTGGGTTTTTGTGGTTTTTTTCACAGGTTTTAGTGGGTTTTTTGTTAGTTTTTCACGGATTTTAGTGGGTTTTTTTTGGCGTTGTTTGGGTGGATTTTCCATGGAAATGGGGCTGAAAGGAGCAGCTGGGTGGGAAATCTGGATCTGCCTGCTCCCACACGGAATATTGAATTCCACCCAAGTTTTACAATTTTTCTGTGGTTTTTCACGGGTTTTAGTGGGTTTTTTGTGACTTTGAGTGGTTTTTTTGGTGATGTTTGGGTGGATTTTCCATGGAAATGGGGCTGGAAGGAGTCAGAAGCGAGCAGCTGGGTGGGAAACCTGGAATTCCCCACTCCCACATGGAATATTGAGTTCCACCCGAGTTTTAAAATTTTTTCGTGGGTTTTAGTGTTTTCTTTTTGGGTTTTTGGGTGGTTTTTGGGTGGATTTTCCATGGAAATGGGGCTGGAAGGAGTCAGAAGCGAGCAGCTGG